GAGCCTCACTCTGGGACTCGGTCAATCATGCAAAGCCGATAGCAAAAAATACTCTTCAAATATCTCTTCCCCCACAAAAGAAGGACTTAAAGCACTAACCTGTGCCTGTCTTAAGGCGGCCGCTTTAGCCAACTCTTCTTGCTGCTGATTTAGTCTCTCGCGCAAATCTCGCATTTCTTCTAAAGCGTTCACGTGCTGCTGGTCGGCTGCCCTAGATCTTCTCAATTCACGAAGCCTGATTGTAACCTGTGCTTCGCGGTCGGCGAGCTCTTGTTCTCGCTCAGAAACCGCTTCTAACTCTTCTTGCATAGTTACCATGTCCGCCCGCGCGGATATCAGTGACTCGCGTGCTGCCTTCAGTTGAGTTTCTAGAGAAACTATCTGTTCGGAAAGCAAGGCCTTTTCCGCATTTATTTCTTGCAGCAGTGAAATTTCGCCACTTTTCGACGCCACTTGTTCCTCTAAACGCTCAACAACCTTTTGCAATGAACTGAGCTTCTGCAAAGCCAGGTCTTCCTTCATGGCAGCTTCTTCTAGGTCCTTATCTTTCTCACGAAGCTCGGCTTTAAGAGATTCCAGTTCAGCTTGTAGGTTGTCGATTTGTATGCGTGTATCTACTATAAAACACTCGTGATTCTCCTCGGCATTCTGTGCAGCTTTCTTCAATTCAGCAACTGCAAACACATAAAACATTGTAACCAGTTGTCCTTAAAATTCATAAAAATAAATCTAATTGTGCACTATTTGTCCGTTGTTGGTGTGTGCTATACTACGTTATCCACTGATAGGGAGTATAATTGCTAGCACGACTCGACAGATAACGTCAGTTTATTTTCTGTTTCGCTTAAGATGTTTTAGTGTTAATGAACCGTATTAAACTAGCACTTCGCGATATACTGCAAACTAACTCGGATTGTACTATGAGCGATCATATATTGATAGGCCGAATTTAGAAGATTACACGAGTCCCGAAGTTCTCCCTGAGGTTCTACCAATATCACTCACCCTGGTCAACCAGCGTCTCCCTATCAGTCAACTCAGCTTGAAGGGTTCTGGTCTGGTCCATGAGCTGTTCGTTGAGGGATGCTTGCTCTTTTAGCGCCTTTTTGGAGTCTTTGGCGTCCTTCTCAGCGATTTCCCGTGCTTGTTCCAACTCAACTAACTCCCGACGTAAACATGCTCCGTCCTCAACTGCTTGGTTGAGGTTTTTTTTCGTTGCGCGAAGTTCGTCGTCTTTTTCATGCAGTTTGTTCTGCCAATAGCTAATGGTGTTTTCGGGTCGTGGCTGTTCTTCGTCGCGGTCGTCAGAACGGTCGGTTGGAGGAAATTCCGGTAAATAGCCAAAACGGTCGCGGAACATGTACAGTTCGGGCCATAATTTTTCCTTCAAGTATTCACTTGTTTTTGCGTACCCTTCCTAATTCACAGTACATGCAGTCCATAAACAAGTTTAGTGGCCATAGTATAGAGATTTTTTAAGACTTATGGTCAAAAAGCTAGCGTTGACACACATGTTTGCTTTAACAAAACACTTAACAAAACTTCGTACACCGATCAGAACGATGGAAACCACATCATCAGTATTATTGAAGAATTACGTAAGCTGCTAATATCGTGAACGGGGAAACTTCTTCGATAAGGATACTGCTTTTCGTACAAGGAGTGACCCAGAAAACATGGCAAACACAAATGAGAAAAATTAGATAAATAGAAGCGACAGTTTGTACACAATACAAACTACGTAATTTACTTACCCTATACTTCATGTATTTCTCTTTGTAGATTTGAATCTGCTCCTCGAGTTCTCCTACTGTTACCTCCTGGTCCTCCTCATACATTTCTCGCAGCGCTGCCTTCTCCTTGAGGAACTTATCCCGTTGTTCTTTCATTCTGTCCTGGTACATGAAGTGAATATTTTCCTTTGCCTCGTCCTCTTGTTTAAGGCGTTCCTTTAGTCGCATTATCTCCTCTTCGTTTGAGACAAGCATTTTTTCCGCCCGTAAAATATCCCGAGCCATGTCATTGAAATAGGACGCCTTCACCTCGATGTAAGATACACCCTGACGCACTAGTTTACGATGTACTGCATCTTGCCAGGACTCGACCTCCGTATCGTCGACTGATCCGACCTTCAATGGACTGTTGTCCACGCATCCCTGAGTTAGTCGGCGAAGCTGCCTCAATCGCTCGAGAGGACGATCCGAAAACTGGACGATTTCAGAAGCAATGGCCGAGAATCGGATTGTGTCCATGGTTTCGTCCTGGAGGTAGATATGCGGGTTTATACATATAATAAGGCTTACGTATCCACCAAGTGTGAAGAACGGATTTAGCATCCGTGTCAACTTTGAATCTCGGAAGGGTGCCGAGATGCCCTTGTCTTTTTTGCGTAACGCTTCGAGACAGCGGCCGAGTACAAGCAAGGAGCCATTAATTGCACTCGCTTGCCTCAAAATGACGCCCGTCGTACCGGTTTTACTCTGTCTCTCACTACCGGCTAAATCGCTAATGACAAACTACCGGCTAAATCGCTAATGACAAACTGATTTACTAGTGGTTCGGTTAAAGCGGCACCCCAATGCACCATCTTAACAGTGAATACCATATGCGAACGGGACGACGCGTCGTTCAACTTGGTTGATGCCTTAGCAAGGTTTTGCTTTGCTATCTGCAGAAGCCCGAAGGCCTCAGCAGCTGAATTAACAGGTAGTTGTATAAGGTCTTTCACAAAAGTTTGTCCCTTAGTGTCCTGTCCGACCATCAACCCCTTACGTTTGTTCCTTGAAGCCACATCCAGCAGGTCGCTAATGATTTCATTATAAATCTCATATACAGAGATCCACACAGAGCATGAGTCCGCTCCATTGATAGTAGTGTTCGTGGGCGATTCAGATGCATCGCGTGTCATGTTAGCAAACGCATACTGATCAAAACCGACAGGGCCGCCTTTTCCTTTTGTCAAAAGTGAGCTCTTAATGCGCTCCAATTCCTCGATCTCTGCCGACGTGAGCTCCTGCGCGGCTTCAAAAAGTTTCGGCTTGTAGGTAGGCACCGACTTCTTTATTTTTGATTTGTAAGACCCAAAAATCTTTTCCAGTGTACGGGGCACAACACCGGGATCTGAACGCTCACCCATAATGGTATAGGTTTTACCCGACGATGTCACACCATACGCGAAAGTCATTACATTAGCGCCGTCAAGAAACTTGTCCACCAAGGATGCCGTGGTTACGTTGAAAACCTCCTCCTGAGTAACCGTCCCAGAAAAAATGTGCGTAAACGTGGCTTTCTTATTTGCTCGCCCGGCTTTAACAATGAAAAAAAAATGGAAAATATGACACGCATTTAATATAAAGTAATATAAACAGTAACAACTTCTATGAAATCTTTCACACAGTTATGGAGAGCTATGGGAATGCATCACCTTATCTTTTCACACTTCTGATATGTAGAAATGGACGAGGAATGTCCACACAGCAACAGAAAATACCTTTCAGTATGGACTTTCTACATGCTCCCTTCATAACTGCACTGATTATATCTTACAATATAGAAGTTCTTAGATATATATATCAATATAGAAGATCTTACAATATAGAAGTTTCACATCATAAATATATTAAATAAAGATTTTCCAATGAAAAACTTTCATTACCATGGTTTGTCTCGACTGTCGTTGCATCGATCACTTTGATTGAAAGGTCTTCCTCTTGAATCGGTTTGATTCTCAAATAGACGGGCAGGCTTTCCCGTTCTTTATCAGCCGCACCGAAATCTATTCGACGCGGGGCTTCGGCGAGCGATGACGAATCCATAGTTGCTCTTTCACCTGTGAAAAACACTATCTCGTTATTAATTCTTCAGCTCCGTTATGTATTAATGGAATTACATAAACAGGTTGTTATAAACGCTTTCACATTAAGTCGTTTCATTAGAAACATAGACCTTACTGTTCCTGCGAACATACATTATTTCTAGGGCTCTAACCATCATAAGCCTTTTCCTACTGATGCAACATGCAATTAGCTTTTGTGTTCAACAGCTTGTTAAGAAATGCCGGTGCCTCATGAGAAACGTTTGCCCTTTTCACACAAATTCCGTCAAATAATTGATGTGCGACTGTAATAACTTCACACTAATTAGAACAAACACCTCGATACATGAACATATGCCGTTATTATTAAAAGCCCCTAGAGATAAGACACTGGCTTCTTTATAACAATTACACAGAAATGCGTAATTAAATACAATATTAAAACGGGGATGGACTTAAAACGACGTTTTTTTGTTGCATGATTCCCTTTCTTTCAGTCCTTTATTTCTAGATATAGGATAAATACTAGCTTTATGTGTAGAGCATTTTATCTAAATATGTGTGATTAAAGTTGATCAAATAATATAAAGGTGTAAGTTCAATTAAGATATCAACAGAAGGGGGTTGCTTCCACATGGCTTGAAGCAACGGCTTTTGGCAAAGAAAGACAATGCTCATTTGGCTTCAACGGTTACGCATATTAAGTCACAACATTAGCGTTGTTCGTAACATTCATGCCAGTGATGCGAATCTATAAGAAACTGCTGATATTATAACTCAAAAAAAGTCAACAACAAGACTTACAATGGAACTCAATCAAATTCAGCAGTATAGCACCTTAAAATTCGGCCACTGTGAATGACAAAGCAACGGATAGTTTCGCGCGTTTAAATAGCGGCCATCTTGAGTCAAGCTTAACGAGAGCGTGCTACTTCCGGGTGTAAATCGCAGTCAACATGATCTAGAAGAACATATTCTAGATGGGTTATTTTAGAATCATTATCGAAACATAGTCGAACGCCGAATTCAGTTTCGTGTATAAAACTTTGACCGATAATGTAAATAAATTTTCTTTGCTTTCATCATTTATCGTAGTTTACTTCCGGGTGTAGCTGGACCACTATGCCCAATCTCCTCTTTGGCGGTCAAGTGAATTCTTCGATCGGTGACAGTGTGGAAACAACATTCCAAAAGGATTATTAACAATCTGAATGTATGTTTAGTTTGTGTAGACTTTTCGAATACACCAACAAAATTGTACCATCAGGGAATATCTACGTAAGGTTTAGTGTCTTCAAGCCGCTTAGAGAACGAAGATAACGAGTCACTGAAACATTTGTTTGCCTGCACCGCAGCTACCGGTACTTTGAAGTTGTAGAACGGAATTGCATTTTGTGGCCCCCATTTCTATCCCTATCTCGAAGTTTTTAACTGAGAGTCAACTCAGAGTTCACCCGCCATAAAACTATCTTGAGTGTCGAACAAATTGCTGGATGGCTAGTACTCAGTTCGTAGACAATGTGCTTAGTTTGATTGTATTGAAGAAAGGTTTCTTGAATGAATAAAAGCGGCTGATTGTAGTAAGTATAATATTTACAGCGCATTTATTTAGTGACATCGATACAATATTTTGACTGCCTCGCTCCTTGGAGCGCGGAGCGGCCAATCCTCATTACGCCTCAGGCATTAGTGGCCGTTGTTGAAAAATCAGCGCTTAGAAGATTCAGGATTTAAAAAGATTGAAGTGATACCGATACCTGGAATCATTTAGACTCAAAGTCAAACTGCCGTGGATATAATTCTGATACACATTAATCAGCCGCCAAAGCCGGGCTATAAATCACATATGTATCTTCATAGTATCACTGTCAAGAACGGTAAAATTCTAATGAGTAGGTTTATATGACTTCTGACTTTTCGTCTTTCAAGATTCTTTATCTGTGAATTCAAGATGTTCAGGATAAAAGACTCTCTACCAAAGCGTTGATTGGCCAAGTTCTTGTTAGAAGTCGTAGATACATAGCACATTTAATCCACAACAAAAATCGAACATTATAATTCCGTGTCGTTAGTTTGAAAGTTTCGCATGGGGAAAAAGCGCCCATAGCTACGTCTTCAAATTGTCATACATTCGTTTCCAGCCAAATAGTATTTTATACGCCCCCCGTATGTTCAGAGCTGTGACTATCAGAATCTGTCACGAACTTAGCGTGAAACACAAACTTGTTGTCTGTTACAGGTTGATTTGTTCCTCAGGTGACTTCTTCTTCTTTAAATTACTTCAGTATTTTCACCGTTGCGTGAAATCTAGGATTTTATTCAACTTACTGGTGGGAATTTCGTAAGTCCATAATGGACTCAGTTCTGTTGGTGTCAGATAAGCTGAGTCTGTTCACGAGAGCTTCGGATGGCCGTTTTAATCAGGTAATAATCAGCTAGAGGAACCCAGCCAATTAATTCGATTATAATACAGATACAATAAATTTAGTCTATTTTTCATCTACATTCCTATGTCAATACTTATTTGACGCTAGATTGTTCTTTTCGTTACTTCTGCTAGGTTTCCACAATCCGGCCTCGCGACCCGGCGCAGCTGAAAGATGTTCAGCTATCACCAGATGGTCGCCAGTTGATGGCAATCAGTTCGAATCCAGATCACGGAATTTGTTTCGCTTGTCTGACCAAAGCTCAAGACCGATGGCTTTATTATGACTACTTTCCTTCTGAGGTAACCACATGTTTCTGCTTGAAGGGGCATTTACTGACTTGTAGAGCGAGATGTTTATCTAATTGAGAGTCGTTATATCCGGGTTCGCTCGCTATTTGGATCCAGTTATATGTACGCCATCACGAAAATTCCGATAGCATTGCAGGCGATCAAGATCGCTAATTATTAAACTGAAATGAATATGGTAAATAAATGTAATACCATTTGTTTTTCAGTTCCATGTGACCTGTGGAGTATTTTCACCTACTCGAAATCACATAGTGTATCTTGGTACAGCAACAGGAGGCATTATTGAATTTGATCTCAAGGTTAAAGGCTTCAATATTCTTACCAAGGTATGGTCCATCTCAAAATTGGCACTAATGGAAACTTATTGAATCAGCTATTGCGGAAGCAATATCAGTCGGAAAGTCAAATTTATGGTACTAATTGTTTCATCGATACAATTTCGAGAGCCACTACAATTATGCCCAACTTTTTCACTTCACTTAGAATTTATTAGGTTTTTGCTGGGATAACACGAGGCAGAGGTAACGTTTAGCGAACTAAGTTGCCATATTGCATTTACTATACCATAAGCCAGGCATTCATTTTTCTAGATCTATATTCTATGGTATTATAAGTATGTTTGTATCTTAGTCTCAATACATTTAGATTACGTTCTTAGGGCCGCAATGAGGTCGGTCCTCCGGCAACTTCGATTGACGTCAATGCCATGGGCAGTCACGTGGCGGTTGCAATCGGAGGTTCGCTTCTTGTGCATAGCATAAAAAATAAGGTCGACACAGTTATCGAATACGACGCTTCAAAGGTAATTCGAGTTTTCCTTTTCTATTCTTTTAAAATCTTACATGGGGTTATATGTTACGCATGTAGAGTTACGCACATATTTTCCCAGGCGATTTTAGCCTCATGCTTGGATTTAAGTGGGTTCCTCATTTTCTTTAATTCCAGAATGCGCAAGTTCTTCTACGATTTCATCCGACACAGCAATTTTCCCTTGGCGTTTTTTCATCAGCCGAAGGCGCAGCTGTCCTTGAATTTTCAACAGGCGCCATACAGGTAATTCGGCCCTTCGCTTTATTTAATGTACACAACTGCAAAAGAGTTTTCACATTGAGGGATCAAGCTGAACTCATGTCTAGTAGTAATACCCGCGAATCCTTAGTTTTTAAAATGGAGCGTACTTACTTGTTTGTATTGGATAATTGTTAAATTTTAGCTACCACCATCTTCAGTCCGTTGGCGAGCGCCACCTGGCGAAGAGCACATCTGCGAACCGTTAACATTGCTTTGGGCCGGAACCTCATGTCTAATAACTGTTGCTGTAGATCGAAGGGTTGTTCAGTATTCAGCCAAACGGTAGGAAACTGTTTTCAGATGAAGTGTTAGCATCTATACATAACGTGCTTTGAGTAAAATACAATAAAGAGCTTATTTATAAGCCGGTTTGAGGTAGGAAAAACGGTCTTAAATTTTATATATTGTATGAAAACGACTTTCTTTTTTTTAACAAATATAAACAATGCGAGGTTGAAATGACACTGCACTTATCACAAAAGAATATTCGGAAAAGAGATATTTTATGAACGCCCGAAAGACGCGTATAAACGTAGCATAACACTCTTTTTTTAATAAGTTAAATTTCACTCTTCTCTAATCGTATTATTGTGTACATTTTTGTTGAAGCAGGTGTGGTCAACTCTACCGACATGATAAACGCGTCACGAGTGCAGGAATATTACGAGAAGGTGCTGAGCTTCTACTAGGCTTAGCCGATGGACTTGCTTGTCTAGATATTCGCCGACGACAATTGTTATGGACTAAAGATACGATATTTTCGAGGCCGGTCGAAATGATAAGTCGAGCCAAACACCATGTGCGCAATGTTTTATATCTATAATGTTTCACGTATAGGTTTTTTCACCATTTTGTTAATACTGCTTGATCGTTTCTTAGTCTTAGTAACAGCCTGTCTATCGTAGCATACGGTAAGAACAAAGTTTTTGTTTTCAGCTGCCGGTATCTAGGGGATCATCAGGAGTTGAGTGCATGTATCCGCAATTGGAACCCTATAATCTAGAAACACGATCTAAAAGTGTGAGCGGTATGTAAGCTTGAAAATATTTAAAGAATAAATTCCAATAATTGACCCACGCCGTTTTTATTGAGGGAACCTGAAATTGTAGCTGTTTCATGTGCATTATTTAAAATATAATCCCCCTTCAGCAGAGATTTAGAACACCCCTCAGCTAGTCTGAATGTCCGATATATAAAGATACTTTCCTAATTCGCATGGTTATTGAGTTACTGCTTTCCGCATAGCCAGTGGACCGAATTCAATCGCATAATTAACCGAGGACGTTTTCGAAAACATTTTAGGGCATTGTGGTTGCACATACTAGTTCAGTTTTTTTTAATTCCTTCACAATACAATTGAGATGGCCTTGAATTTATTCACTTCTAGTAGTAAATTTAACGAAAGAAAAATGTGATTTGCTAAAGCTGAGACGATAGAACCTGAAACAAAGTGCCGCTTTTTACATTTTTTTAATGGTAATTGGGACACAGCGAGAACGGGACTTGCTCTCAAAGTCGATGACGTTGCGCAATGTGTTATCTCACCAGTACGAGGGGACGAGGTTCGTATCGGCCAGATAAAACTAGGTAAGAAAGTAGAAATATTATAACTTCTAATGCAGTTGTCGTGGTTTTTGTCTATCTAGGTGTTTTAATCACTTATACCGATTAAGTGAGATATCAATCGTAGCGCTCAATACTAATGCCAAAACCGAAATAGAAAATTCAATTTTTTTTTCGTTATTGGTGCTGTCTTTAATTAAATATCTTCTAATGGGGCTTTCAGATGATCAGAGGAAAAGCTCGTTAAGCACCCTAATTTCTCCACCACGAGGCTATACTGGGGGGTCGAGAAAACAGTTAGCCCGTGCAGTCGAGGGCGCAGTTGCAGAAGGTTAGCGATCTTGCCGTGTTAAGGGCCATACACTCATTTATATCCAACCAAAAGAACACCTAGAAGCCTAATTACTAATTCATAATAGGTCAGGTCTTCCCTTGGAAACATGGCATACCTATTATGTAATTGGCTTAAAAACTGTAAACACATTTTTTCTATTTGATACTGAACGAAGAGGCTGATTCAGACATCTTGGAATGTGGTCAACAGTTCTAGTTTTTGGCGGATATGTTATACTGCAGATGTAAAGCTCACCGAAATTTGTCAAATCATTTTTGTAAAAACTGTTTTTAGAAGAACGACGACAACGTTCAAATACCATTTAACGCTGCATATGTGTTTATGGCTTAGCTTTAATTCCTGAATCCACTTATTTTAACGGGTTCCGCAGCTTTCGATGTACAAACATATTATCCTACTGTATGAGTAGAAGATATTTATTACTCGATTTTCTATTGGACCTTCAGATGTGCTTAGAACGAACTCACTAAACGCTTGGATTTCTCCATCGCGGGATTGTGTAGATCTGAAAAAGCTTTCATCTCAAACTGCGGATTTCAGCGAATTTAGAGACAGGAAGCAAAAATTGCTCCGTAATAATTCTCCATCATAAACGCGCTAATAATTATATCAAAATACACCGTCAAACTACCCAGCTGATTTTCAATTTTACTGGACTCTCTGGTATTTAAAACGGATATATCTAGAGTGCCTTGTTCGGCTCTGGTATGACGTCCTTAATTTTTATTCAGCTAAACTATTAACCGTATTGGAAACTGAGTTTGCTAAACCATTATCAGTATCGTATTTACGACAATACGTGGCGTCGTGCTTGATGTAGGCTGCATTAAAGGTAAGGACAAGCTTATCATGACTTGAAACTTTGGCAAGACGAACATGTAAAATTGTTATGTAATCACATATGTATCTCTGTCTTTGTCTTTGTATTTCCTAAGAGATGCAGACTTCGGAGAACAATCACGTCTTGCAGTCAACAATTATAAGCGGTATGTCAATAGCATTCTCTACGTAACGCCCTTACAGTTGACAGCTGTACTTGATGACACTAAATATGTGATAAAACTGTGGCAAAGGTGAGAAATGGGGACTCAGATAAACAAAAGTGATTTTTTTCAGCTAACGAGGCAGAAGAAAAAGGTATAAGGAAGCTTGTGATTAAAGTACTTTGCGAATGTTGAAGGCACCATAGATTCCCTTCAAACAAAAAAGTGAAATGATAATTAGAAATTATTTCATTAACTTAATTTAGATAATTCTTTATATCAAGAATGAAAGATAACATTAAACTTTATCCTTTCGATTCAATCAATAGGCATATTAACAGTAGTTTTCTGTTTCGATTATATATTTAAATCCTACAGACTAGATGAGTAATGCAACTTTGTCTTACTTTCGTTCTATGAACATAAATTGTAGAGATTTACTGCGAATTAAATTAAAAAAATAGTCAAAAAAAGAAGACAAGTTTTGCGCCACGTAATCGGCTGCAGAAATATATACATACATATAATGCGGGCAAGTAGAGACTATAGTGCTTTTTCTGTGTTTGCTTATTGACGCTGGCTTACCAGATTATGACAGGTTTCACAAAGATCTTATCGACATTGGATTGGACAGTTATTCGCCTACAAAAAATGAACGTCCGCCATTATCACTTAAGCAAATGATGGGATCGGGTAAGTTGTCCAGTCAATGATTCGATTAATATATATGCGGCATTTCGTCGTTGTTGTGCGTTACTTGAATAATGTTATTTAAAGAAAAAACAAACATAAAAAAAAGATAAAGAAAATTACACCACTCACGCTTTGGCCAGGCGAAACCCTGCAACAATATAGTAACTACCCTAATTACGTTGCTGGTTGAACCAGTTTAAGCAATAAAAATTGTTTAAACACATCGCAGAATAGCACCTTGTCAGCTGTTTTTGACATTATGTATAATACTAAGGTGGACATCACTTTTATTTATTTAATGGTAGCGATTTCCTTACGTCATTCAGGCGATTGGATTGGTGCTGCAGCGTTGGTATTGAGAAAGTCGCTATTAATATCTTCCACACGTACCGAAATTTTCTTATTAGCAGCTTTGTATATAGGTTTTCTCTCACAATAGTTAATTCGCACTTCCATCAATTTCTATAGCAGAAATTTAGATTTAGGGTATTTCTGCTTTATTACATAATTCAAGACTGATTTCACACACCATCATCACTATCATTGACTAAGGAAGAACTTCCTTCTGATCAGGTGTACAGAGTCAGGCGCCAGTCAGTGTCTCCAGGACGAAAAATATCTTTTATAACGTCGATGCGTCACGTTCCTTATCAAAGAACGACTCTGACGGGTACGCATTATGCTCTTTATGCGTGAATCGTCTCCTAATGTGAACAATATGTCAACTATTCCATATCTTCGCATTTTTACGTACCAATTATTGACGAACCATTATTTCATTTGTCTTCTTAAATGTTCAAGGCGTATTGTTTGCCTTCTTATAAATACAGATGAAGCTGCTCGAACACTGGCTATCAGTAACCCGTGTTGTTGTTTACTATATTGTACACTAATATTGAAAATAATTTATATAGCTCTTTAGCGGCCGCAATTACAAAGCAGCAAAAACTCCTAAGGAGGTTGGTCGAGAGTTCTGAAAGGCTCGAGAATACAATAGAAAAAGTCCTAAAGGAGTTGCGTCATCAAGGTAGTACGATAAGAAACCTCGTTGAGCACAGTCTTAATCTTGGGAAAGCCTATCATCGAGAAATAAGGGTAAGGTAAAGCAAGTGAGAATTTCAAAGTCCCAAGAACATGTCAGAAAATGATATCGTAGGAACGTAAAATGATTGGCATCTTTCGCGCGCATTCTTCTATAATACCACTGTGTAATCATATACGCGATTAAAGATAAATTATCACGAGCTTATACTTAACGCTCATCGGCTGAAAATTGGTTTCAAAATGTTGTGTTATCACATTTTTGGCACTCCATTTAACCAATAATGAAGTGTCTTTAAAATGTTAAAAAAACATGGTCCTGGCAGTACTAACCTCAACAATTGCGCATATAATTAATGCTGAAAGAGTACCAAGCAGGTACTGCGCTGGACCGTTTCGGGCTTACCTTCAATATTTTCGAGATATTTTTAGAAGTGCCATTTCTAGTTCTCATTTGTATAGGAATTTATAGATGATAGTAGTATTTCGAGGAGTACATTTAGCGGAAGAAAGTTTATTTAATATGAACAATCTCGACTCTTCAGAACCGTTTTTATGGAAACAAAAGGATAGCAGCGCCTAAAGAAGGGCACAATGCGCAAAATTAACAGATTATGCGTGATTTTTCAGGAAATCCTCACTGTGATGTATGACGCTCAACAGGACTAATGAGTGGACGTTGATCACAAAGCCGAGGCCTATGTTAACGAAAATCAAACGGAAAAGTCGTTTCTCTTTTTTGCACCTATACATTTTTTGCTATTATTAATGTTTTGGTCAGATAAATCAGTCTATATAAATAAAAAAAAATTTATTTATTTTTTTAAATTATTAAGAAAACTGATTCCGGTTAGGACTGCATTGGATACTGCGGAAATGATAAATTTTGTTTGCTTAGAGGGCGTTGCTTTAAAAAGCAACCTTCAACACATTTTTAAGATGTTCAATATGATTAAATTGCGATAAGCTAATTTATATTTGAATAGAGGATAAAGTCTAAGGCAGCTAATCTGTACATATATAGAATGCTGTTCCTGAGGTGAAGAAGGTGCCAAGTTTCAGATTTTTTTCGTTTATATGGATATTCTCAAACCGAAGTCAATCGGGAATAGATTATATGTAGGCTATATTGAGCTTCGTTTTCAGGTATTCTCCGGTAACCACTATAACATTTTTTACCCCAACAAAACCTTCTTATAGGGGGTTCCATGGCTAGGATTTGTTGATATGTCAAATAATGATTAACGATATATTCGATCTATAACAATGTTAATAATATATACATTCAAAACCCTGCCCATGATGGAACACGGATACATCGCTAGACTTTCTCACTACCATAACTCACTTGCAGCCACGTCTCGGGCCCATTTAAAAAATATACCTTCTATATATCTACATAAATACATGGCCTGCCCATCGGTCTGTTGGTCGTAATCGGAACATAGCAGATAAACTGGCCCAGTGTCCCTGTAGCTCAGCAGACCCTTCTCGAGGTCGTCGGATCATGCTGCTTGTGTACAACATGCGTGCCAGTCACTCACTTAGCGTGTGCTGTGTGTCGTGTGTGCCATTCGGCTCAATCACACGTCGACAGTGACCTGTTTGTCTGGCGCGTCCAAGAAAGGACTTTATGCATAGACCTCCCCCCAAATCCTTGTCTCCCTTTGTGGAGCCTTGGACAGCGTCTGCGGTCCAAGCGATCGCTGCTGGCTCAGCAGCTCGGCTCAGATCTGTGGTGCTATGAGGCCGTCAGAAATGACCTTAGATGGGATTTCACACACAGAACCGGGAGCTAACAACAGCAACCACCAGGCATCGATAAACCACAGCAGCAGCAGCAGCAGCGCAGTAGTAGTAGTAGTAGTAGTAGTAGTAGTAGTAGTAGTAGTAGTAGTAGTAGTAGTAGTAGTAGTAGTAGTAGTAGTAGTAGTAGTAGTAGTAGTAGTAGTAGTAGTAGTAGTAGTAGTAGTAGTAGTAGTAGTAGTAGTAGTAGTAGTAGTAGTAGTAGTAGTAGTAGTAGTAGTAGTAGTAGTAGTAGTAGTAGTAGTAGTAGTAGTAGTAGTAGTAGTAGTAGTAGTAGTAGTAGTAGTAGTAGTAGTAGTAGTAGTAGTAGTAGTAGTAGTAGTAGTAGTAGTAGTAGTAGTAGTAGTAGTAGTAGTAGTAGTAGTAGTAGTAGTAGTAGTAGTAGTAGTAGTAGTAGTAGTAGTAGTAGTATAGTAGTAGTAGTAGTAGTAGTAGTAGTAGTAGTAGTAGTAGTAGTAGTAGTAGTAGTAGTAGTAGTAGTAGTAGTAGTAGTAGTAGTAGTAGTAGTAGTAGTAGTAGTAGTAGTAGTAGTAGTAGTAGTAGTAGTAGTAGTAGTAGTAGTAGTAGTAGTAGTAGTAGTAGTAGTAGTAGTAGTAGTAGTAGTAGTAGTAGTAGTAGTAGTAGTAGTAGTAGTAGTAGTAGTAGTAGTAGTAGTAGTAGTAGTAGTAGTAGTAGTAGTAGTAGTAGTAGTAGTAGTAGTAGTAGTAGTAGTAGTAGTAGTAGTAGTAGTAGTAGTAGTAGTAGTAGTAGTAGTAGTAGTAGTAGTAGTAGTAGTAGTAGTAGTAGTAGTAGTAGTAGTAGTAGTAGTAGTAGTAGTAGTAGTAGTAGTAGTAGTAGTAGTAGTAGTAGTAGTAGTAGTAGTAGTAGTAGTAGTAGTAGTAGTAGTAGTAGTAGTAGTAGTAGTAGTAGTAGTAGTAGTAGTAGTAGTAGTAGTAGTAGTAGTAGTAGTAGTAGTAGTAGTAGTAGTAGTAGTAGTAGTAGTAGTAGTAGTAGTAGTAGTAGTAGTAGTAGTAGTAGTAGTAGTAGTAGTAGTAGTAGTAGTAGTAGTAGTAGTAGTAGTAGTAGTAGTAGTAGTAGTAGTAGTAGTAGTAGTAGTAGTAGTAGTAGTAGTAGTAGTAGTAGTAGTAGTAGTAGTAGTAGTAGTAGTAGTAGTAGTAGTAGTAGTAGTAGTAGTAGTAGTAGTAGTAGTAGTAGTAGTAGTAGTAGTAGTAGTAGTAGTAGTAGTAGTAGTAGTAGTAGTAGTAGTAGTAGTAGTAGTAGTAGTAGTAGTAGTAGTAGTAGTAGTAGTAGTAGTAGTAGTAGTAGTAGTAGTAGTAGTAGTAGTAGTAGTAGTAGTAGTAGTAGTAGTAGTAGTAGTAGTAGTAGTAGTAGTAGTAGTAGTAGTAGTAGTAGTAGTAGTAGTAGTAGTAGTAGTAGTAGTAGTAGTAGTAGTAGTAGTAGTAGTAGTAGTAGTAGTAGTAGTAGTAGTAGTAGTAGTAGTAGTAGTAGTAGTAGTAGTAGTAGTAGTAGTAGTAGTAGTAGTAGTAGTAGTAGTAGTAGTAGTAGTAGTAGTAGTAGTAGTAGTAGTAGTAGTAGTAGTAGTAGTAGTAGTAGTAGTAGTAGTAGTAGTAGTAGTAGTA